CGGGCGCCCGCTGGTCAGCCCGCCCCGGGCGACCGTTGCCGCCTCTCGCACAATGCCAAAGGGTCAGCAGGAAGCTCCAACTCCACACACCGCGCTGTGGCATTTCCCTACTCGGCCCTGTCAATTGAGTCTTCTCCTCGTCGTCATCTTAATGCGCCCTCCCCCCCCCATCCCTCCGCGTTTTTCTACTCCCCTCGACTCTTTCTTTCCTTCCCTTCTCTCTCTCTCTCCCTCTCTCATTCTCTCAGTCTTTGGTGTGTGTGTGTTTTCTCAATGGCGGAGGGCCGGTTCTTCAGGAAATCTTTAATCTGTTGTGAAAAAAAGCCAAGCCGGCGCCACCCTCCTCTTTGAAGTCCGCGTTTGAAGCTGGAGGTTCCCAGGCTCTGCGATTCACCGCGCCACAAAGCCCTTCCGAATGAGGTGTGCGGTTTGTAATCGTCGGCTCGTGGAGGGCGGGGTGGTGTGGGTGGTGGTTTAACCACCCCCTCCTGGGAACAGCCGGTAACTACGTATTTGCTGTGACAGAGGTTCGTTGTAATTTTTCTGCCGAGCTGTTCGAGCTTGTAGTTGAATCTCAGTCGAAGAAACACGTCGACTTAAATATAGAGGAAGTCAGAAAGGTGTAGTAAAATGCACAGCTTTTGTATGAAGTAATCGCGTGTGATTTTTTAAACCGTAGTGACAAACATGTAGTTACATGTCGTAGCTAAAACTCCATACAAATATTTCCCTTCCCCCAAAACTTCGAATTTTTTAGGAATTTTTCCTGGCCAAATCATATTACGTCGGAAGTGATAGGCTTCTGTGATGAGAAGGGAACTTAATCATGGGGAATTGTGTTAATGTCGATAAGAGGTATAAAATTGAAAGAGTAAAGTTGAAGATGAGACGTTAAGAAAACGATCATGTTCAAACCCCGTAACCTGTATGAAGCCTTGAAACGATTTTCGTGAACTGTGTATTGGACATATTTCACTACTCTAATTATACTACTACCATGGACACGATGTACGAAGCAGTCTCAAACTCAAACCAAAAGAAATGCAGTGTTTAATTGTGTCGTGATGAGCTATTAGTATACAGTCTTTTGTAGCCGTGTATTAGTTAATTGATATTGCGAATTTACCGAAAACGACTATTAAAAATATATCTATTGCAGGGACCGAAGGCAACATGTCAAGTGATCTTTATTTTCGGAGCGCCAAGTTACACTGCAGAGTATTTTTCTCCAGTGCTGACACTTCTCGAGCACGTGCCGGAGCGTGAAAAATGGACTCGTCCACTCGACAGAGCGAAAATTTGGCGAAGGGCGGTGGCGAGGCGCGCGCTTGGAAGCGGGGGGAGTCGCAGCTGCCGAGGACCAAGGGCGGAGATCGGGGCCGAGGGGTCGTCGGCCGCCCTGCGTCTCAGGTGCACCCTCTGGGCCACCCAGCTGCGCCATCTGCCGATGTTTGCGTCGCTTCCCCCTTTGGTCTCCCCGCTGGAATGTTTTCGCAGCATCCGCCCCCCCCCACCCCCTCCTTCCTCGTCCCTGGGCCGCCACTCGCTCGCTCCATGGAGCTGTTGGAGAGAAGTGATGTGCGAATTTTTTTTTGTCCTCGATCTAATGGTGAATAATCTTGGACCCGAAGTCAATTATAAGCTTTGTAATCGTGACATTTTAAAAAATTCGAAAATTGTTGGTTGTTCTTGCATCCAAAATACGACAATTTGGAATTTAAAAAAAAGTCACAGTTCAGTATTGTTCGAATCAGACATGCTCGCCTCATCATCGCCAATCTCGTAAATTGAAAATACCGATCAGTTCGTTATGTTGCTCTTCGCCGTATTTAAGAAGTTATCGAAACATATCTCGATCCAAGCGGTCCTGTACAGCCAACAAGACTAGAGCACGTAGTCGCAAACTCACCGCCCTAAGCTCCTGTCTCAACCCCTTATTTTCACTCGCCAATTACCAGGAGCGGTGGCGTTCAGCTGACGCCATCTGGCGCGGTGTTTTCGAAGGGGTCTGCAAACAGACGCCACCTCACCTCCTTCGCCAAAACCTTTCCTCCGCCCCCGCGGCGCGCGCCGACGTGTTTTCGCGCGCGGAGGATCAATGGAGCCCTTGCGAAGGGCGGCCTCCGCCCTGCAACCCAGCCGGGGTTGGCCAGCTGTTGGGTCACTCCTTTCGCTCCCTTTGTGTCCGCCCCCGCTCGCTCGCGGCCGCCCGCCCGCCTGCCTGTGGGTCCGCCCACGCGGTCCCCGGCGGGGCAACCCTTGCAGAGAGTTGCATCACACAATTGCATTAGGCGGAGCGGCGGGGGTGGTTCTTTTGGGTGCGCGGAGGGCTGTTTGCGACTCTGCCGCGCAAACAGGGGACGTGCGGCCGCCGGCGCCGTTGCAGATGC